ATCTCTGCACTCCCCTGAGGGATGGCGAGTCCCTGGGATACCCCAGTGCTGCCTGGCTGTCCCCAGGGGACAGCAGCATGGCCTGGTGCAGCCCTGACAGATGCCACACTCATCTTCTTCCACAGAATTAACTCTTTTTCCCCCTACTCTTTTACCCAGGCAGGGAAAAGGCAGCTGCAGGTAGCCCAGGCTGACAGCAAGGAGTCACAGGCTGCCCTGCCAATGGGTTTTCAAAGGCTGGGGACAGAAACACAGACCTGGGACAGGGGGAAGCAGTGGACCTGTGAACACGGGGTGCAGAGGGGCATGGGGCTGGATGCCCCAAGGAGGCCATGCCCGCTGGGACAGGCAATGCCCAGCACAGCCTTCTCCATCTCCCCGTGAGATGCTGTTTGCTCGTGCCTTATCTCTCGCATTCGGCACAGTGACACTTTCCCCAGCTCCGCACACCGGTGGCAGCTGGGCCCCCTTCCAAACACAACACCCATTAGAGGCCAGCTTTGAAAAGCAACCGCCTGTTCCCTCCTTTCGCCACCACTGCCCGTGTGGGGCTTTTGCTTGCTGGGGAGAGGCAGAAAAAAGGGGGCTAGACTCTGCCCTGAGCTGGGACAACCAGGATGCGGAGGGGAAAACCCACAAGCAAACACCAGGCTACCAGAGAAGACCCCCATCCTGGGGAGGCCGGGAGTCACAGGAGGGTGAGGGAGGGGTGGACCCCCCGGTGCCGCACAGCTGCAGCCCTGCCACCATCCATCCCCGCAGCCGCCGAGCTCGCTGGAGCCTTTGAAGCCTCTTTTCTCCCCCTCCGCCCACCGTGGGCTGGTTCAAAAGCAGGTTTCGGCAGGCTGCGGGGCGGTGGGGTCCCCGGCACGGGGCCACCGCCAGCCGGGCTCCCCTGGGCACGGTGCCTCGCCCCACTCCTGGCTCAGTCTCGGCAGAAGAGGGAGTTTTGCCCGTTTCGGCAGAGTTTCTCAGCGTCTCTCTGCAGGCGTGCCCACGGCCTTTCCAAGCTGGCGTGTGGCTGTGGAGCCGGTCCAGCCCGTCAGACCTACAGCACATGGGGAAGAGGAAGGGAGGACACAGCCAAGGACGCTTGGAAACTCAATCCTCAAAACTTGGGCTTCAAGGGACATGGCCAGGGCCACACGGGCTCAGTGGCAGAGCTGGGTCCAGCTGCCTGCGCCGCCTGGGGCAGGACCAGAGTGGGCAGGGTGCCCAGACATCCCTGCACCACTGCCAGCAGGGAAAGCCATCGGGTGTAACAGAGCCTGAAACGATAAGGATCGTGCCTGAAGCCGGTCCTGGCTCCTCCCCACAGCCAAACCACGTAGAACAGCTGGAGGACCCCAGGCTCAGGACAAACCCCCCCTGCAAGTAGCAGCAAAGAGGAGTATGGTTCTCCCTGGTGAGAGGGAATGGCATGCTGGGCTTGCTGGCTGGCACAAAGGAACAACCAACATGATTGCAAAGCAACCCCCAAACTGCAAAAAAGAGCAACTTCTCCCAAAACTACGGACCCACTGCCACCACGAAAAGGAAAAAGCCTGGCAGGACATGAAGGGAGGGCGAGTGTTTCTGCAGAGAAGAGGGACACAGAGCGCTGGTGGCAAAGGCTAACAAATCACAGGAGAGGTATTAAACCTCACGCTTCGGGGCTTAAGCTGATATAGCTACTAGGGATTAGGAGGAAATTTAAGGGGGAGGGAGAGAGTGATCCCACATCTGCCTGCTGCAGTCTCGCAGCACGTGGAGTAGCATCGTCCCTCTCCTGCTGAGCCGCACGGGCGACAGCAGCATCTGAGGGTCAGGCACTGCTCTTGGGAAAACCTTGCTCTGTTTTGTGCTGCCAGGACGCAGCAATGAGGGGCACCAACCCCGGCGTAGGGATAAAGCCAAGACCCCCTGCAAGCTTTGCTGGTGTTTTAACAACTTGCTAGGTCACAGCCCAGACACAGCGGAGTCCCAGGCACCCACCCCTGTCCTTGATATATCCAAGGTCTGGAAAGCCCCAACATAGCTGGTGAAATGGGGCAAGTCACTGGTGAAATGGGGCAAGTGGTTGGCTGAAGCCAGCTGAACCTCCCCAAGGCAGCAGCTGAACCCCGGCAGGGTTTCGCTCCCCGTCCTTGAGAATTTAACACCAGTTTGCTCAGCTGCCGCCCTTTCTTTGCACTTTGCGCACGTTCAAACAAAACCTTCACCACTCCCTTGAGGAAGACAAACAGCAAGTCCAGGTCCTGTCACCCTCCATGGCTTCTCCAGTCCCCCAGCTATCACAGGGGCATCACATCCCCGCCAGCATCCCCCATCCCCTATCCCTTAGCCCTCCCTGTCCAGGAATGGGGACACCCAAACCTTGTGGGGCACCGTCCAGCTCCAGGAGCCATCGCCCCTTCCCAGGGATGAGAGCACCGGCCATGGGGGGCTCTGCCTCTCGCCTCCCCGGGGAGCTCCAGCCCCTTGGTGCCACGGCAGCCGCCCCAGCCCGGCCAACTGGCGCATTGTTGGCGAGCGTGGCCAGCCCGGGGACATGATTGATCACCAGAGAGAAAGGCCAAAGCCGTGACGGGTCGTTTAACAATTTCAATTAAACTCTGCAGCACTCCGACGCAAAGGGGAGGGGAGAGGGAGAGAGAGAAGGAAATTAAAAAGCGGGACTTTGCTATTGCTGGGCCGGGGAACCTCAGCAAAGTGTGGCCGGCTCGGGCAGGAGCAGCCCGGCTCTCCCGGAGGAGACCCCCTCCCTGGCTGCAGAAGTGACCACGGCGTCGTCCCAGCGTCCCCTTCCCGAAGGCAGGACGCCCGCCCTCACCCGCCCTTCCCCTCCCGCTCCTGCTCCCAAAACTTTCTCCCTGCCCGCCCCACCGCCTTATAATAATAGGTGCTGTGACCCACTTGTACGGCAGCGCTTACGCGGGGAGGAGGGCTGTGCACGGTGAATATTAAACAACGTGTCCCTGAAGTTCCCGCTGCCGGGACTGGCGCTTGATTTTTGCTTACGTGCGATGACTTTTTTAGGCACAGGAAGCCCCAGAGGGCTGATCACAGCGACCGAGCTCCCAATCCACTGAGACAGCAGAAGGACTCTTAGAGGGATTTTGTTTAAAAAAAATTAAAATAAAAAAAAAATCAGCATCTCAGCCTGTCATATGGAAAAGGCGTTTTAATGAGAGGCAAACGCTCAGCTCACATGGCTTCGGCAAGAAGGAACTGTAAGGGACAGGGGGCAGAGATGCCCTCTGTGCTGGGGATGAGTCTCTGGAACCAGGCAAATCTCCACAGCAGGTCCCAGGAGCCCCACCAAGAGCTTGCAGCACGGGTTCAGGCTTTTTGGCCCCCCCCCCCCCCCCC